CCCGTTCCACACCACAATCGCGGCCGAGCCCAGCTCAGGGTCCTAAGGGCCGGGCCAAATGGGCAGGTAAGCGAGCGGATGACAGGACGCAGAAGTGGGAGCCCCGGGGGATAAACCCGTTCTGCATCACAATCGCGGCCAAGCCCGGCCCAGGGTCCTAAGGATCGGGCCAAGTGGGCAGGTAAGCGAACGGGTGACGGAACGAAGAAACGGGGAATCCCCAAAGGGATAAACCCGTTCTGCATCACGATTACGACCGAGCCCAGCCCAGGGTCCTAAGGACCGGGCCAAGTGGGCAGGTAAGTGAAAGGGTGACAGAACGAAGAACGGGGAGCCCCGAGGGGCAAACCCGTTCCGCATCACAATCACGGCCGAGCCCAGTCCAGGGTCCTAAGGACCGGGCCGATGGGCAGGTAAGTGAACGGATGACGGAACAAAACTAGCGCTCAAAAAAAAAATACGAGCGGGGGGAATCCCCGAAGGGGAGGAACCTGTTTCCTATCTAAACCGCGACCGAGCCCATCTTAGGGTCCAAAGGGCCGGGCTAAATGGGCAGGTACGACGGGCGGGTGGCGAAACCAGCATATAAGGAACCCCAAGATGGGTCGAGTAAAAGAATCCCAAGTTGGATCAAAGAAGAGAAGTTTTAAGGGGGTAAAAGGATACGGAACCCGGAAAAAAGTTTAAGGGAAGAAGGCCGCCCGTAAGTCAAATCCAAACTTATGTATGTCGCAACGGACGGGCAATTAAAGAAGGCTACAATAACTTTCAAGTGGAAACTGATGCAAGGATGGCGATTTCATATTTGTTGGATCCAGATGGGCAAAAATTGCGGAAGGAGATTCAGGCAAGCTTGCTTTTTTCAGACACTACCTCGGTTTCTCTTGTCCATACTATGCGCGAAGGAAACTGGGTCGCCCATATGCTGGCTTCAGATGGGGCGGCCCATTTCGAGATATTCTTAGACGCCGGAAATCTCCCACTGCAGGCTAAACGGGCTTTAAATATGGATTTTTTTGGGCTTCCTTATATTAGATTTGTGGTTTGATGTATTTTGATTCTTTTAGAGGTTTGGTCTAGCCCCCCTCTAATTGTATTTTTGTTTTAAATTTAATAAATTTGGCAAATGTTCCCCTGGCATTTGTCCCACTGATTTTGGTGGTTTGCCTTCCGAGGTAAAAAAAAAAAGCAAAACAAACATATGAAGGTTCAAGGGAAGGAAGACAAGTCATATACAGCAAAAGTTGCTTTATTCTTCGGCTCTACCGGCCGGGAAGTACAATCATACACGAGTTCGGAGTGAAATCAAAAGTACAGCATAAAGGAAACTAAAAAATTGCCCAACGGGCTGTTGCTCCGAGCCTTGGAGAAGGAAGATTAGATGATGGGCTGGAATACTGGAAAGGTGGATCAGAGCATCCGTCCATGCCAAATGGGGCTATCCTTGAATATAGAAGGCCTGGTCTCTGCGCAAGAGCATCAGGACGAGCTGATTGAAGACCTCTACAAGTCTCACCAGGATCCAGCCGAGCGGAGCGTTCATGCCTTGCCAGAGGAGGATCCATCCGCCCCCTTGCCACCAGTTTGTGCTTCCTCCCGGAGGACCCTCAGGGCCTTCTCATAAGCGTCGACAAAGGAAGCATCAAACCTAACGGCCTCAGGCTCAAAGGGGTCCGAGAGATAATGCCCAAGGACCGGAAGATTATCGGCTAGGAGGCTGACCATTCCCTTGGCAAAAGAATCATCGGCAAGCTCGGCAAGGAACTCCCGACCTGCAGGGGTCCCCGAGATCAGCTTTATTCCGTACTGCATCATGTTAGGGCTTTTGGCCAGAAACTCCCCAAGGCCCTGAGCAAGGCGCTCCCCAACGTGCACGTTCACAGCATCGACGTAGGCCTTGGACTTCTGGAACTCAATGGAGCCTGCATCCTTGATCTTGGAGACATCTACCTCGAAAGCCGGAGCGGCCCCCTCCCCATTAACCGGCCGGAGGTTCACGTCAGATCCCTCCATGGCGGCCACCTTAGCACGGAGCACCTGGAGTTCCTCGGTTTGCTTCTTAACCGTCTCCTGGAGAGAAGCACCATCCTTAGCAAGCCTAAGGGTGACGTTCAGATCTTGCTGCATTTTGTTCAGGCGCTCCCGGGCTTTTTTCACCAGATCATCAGCCTCACAACGGATCTGGGCGGAGGCACGCTCTTGTGCCTCATAGGCAAACCGTGCCTTGCAGAAGTAGACAGCATCCTTGTTGAGGGTGCTAAGGCCACACTCATGAAGGTCCACGGCGCTTTCACGAGCAGCAAAATCAGGGGGGACTCTCAGCCCCAAGGAACACCAAATGGAGGAGGCCGTTTGACCGAACAACCTTTTCGACTCCGCACGGGGACCCAAACCGGAGAACTCGATGATGTCAAAGGAATCCTCAGATCCGTGCGGAGGACAATGTTTGTAATTGCGCAATGCAATTGCGCCTCATGGCGCGCCTCAGCTAATTCCTAGACTATGGCGTAAAAGGCATTGCATAAGGCGTTGGGAGTGTGGCGTACGCAATATTGCACTGAGGCGTACGCAATATTGCATACGCAATAAGGCGCTCTGAGGCGTACGCAATAGGAGAACATGAGGGTGTAAGGGTATTATTTGGGTCCACTCGGCCCACTTTTAAAATTTTATAATTGATGTAATGATCCCTATTTCAAATCACTAGTTATTGATTGGATTTTTTCAGTCGATCAATCTTAAATTCTCATATCTTAGATTTTTTTATAAACAATTCAGAAAGTTTTGGTATTCTATGGTACTTTGAAGTTTGAACATATTACTTTGCTAGGACTGTGGCCTCTTATGATTTGTTTTAATATAACATTTGACGACTTTTGACAAATATGTTTATTTTTTATTATGTTTATATTATATATATATATATATATGTGTGTGTGTGTGTGTGTGAGAGAGTATATATATATATATATATATATATATATATATATATATATATATATATTACGCCTCAGGCATACGCCTCGTTGCGGAATGAGGCTTACGCAATATGCAATATTCAAAAAACGCCATGACTACGCAATTTCAAACCTTGCTTCTCACTATGTGGAACCTCAGTCGTTCCATCCGGAGTCTTTTATTCAACTGCAACCTCCCTCAGAAGGCATAAATTCTTTGCGCCACTGGGAAAATATAAAAGAGAGTTCAATTGGTCGCTAACAGTGCTGAGGATGTTCCGAGGGCCGCCAATCCAGGGCAAAGTTCTGCTACTAAAGCCGACAATTCTTCTCTAGAGACCAAGCTGATGACCCTGAAGAAAATGGAGTTACTGGCAGTCATAGGTCAATGGAAGAAATGTCAAAGGGAGTTGAACTTTTTTCTAGTTCAGTACTCCTTGATGAGCAGATTCAGGCTGAGGAGGATGCTGGTGTTCAGGGCATGAACACAAATTCTGCCATGGCTGAGAATGGATTTACTCAAAACATTGTTTCTCAAGAGACTAAAGCAACTATACCATTCAGAAAGCTTCTGGTGGTTGAGCATAGCCTTCTAATTGATGAGGTCCGTACTGTAATTGATTCTGGCCCGGATGGGAGAGGAAGCAAGGGTTCTGGACTTGGCTTTGCTAATCAGTTAGCGCCATCACTGGGGTTTCAGCCTATAGGGGTCTCATGAGAACAGGCAAACACTTGTAGCTAGTGAGTGCTGGAAGGCTACTGCAACAAATAAAACTGCATTCGACATATCTTCTGCAGCAGCACCATTTGTGATTTTGAAAGAACAAGTACTGAAGCTTCTGGTTCAGCAAGCTGTGAGGTATTGGGAAGGAAGAGGTGCAAGGATGAAGATAAAGCTGAAAGTCCAGGCTGGTTCCTATCATCCACCTTGAGGACAAGGTGGTTGTCTACGGGGAGAGATATGATAGGAACCTATTACTCCTATTAGTATAATAATACTAATAATAATAGAAGTATATTAAATAAGTGTGATAGTGTATTAAAGGGTCTTGGGCCAGGTACTAGTTAGTTTTGGGCTGGCCCATAAGTAAGTATAAATAGAAGGGAGGGAGAAATAAGAAGGAGGCTGTTTAGACTCATTGTCTGGGATTGGGAAGTTGGAGTTCTATCTCCTTCTTTGGGACAATCTGTACGGTTTACTTTCATTGAATGAAATTACAGTTTTCTTTCTCTTTCGTTCTTAATCTATGTGTTTAGTACTGGAATTGCGAAGGTTTTATCACTGATCCTCCAGGAGCAACAACTGCTCTGATACCATTGATAAGCACAGTCCCAAATGAAAGCTAAAAACAGTAAACCAATACGCAAATATGAACGAAAGGTAACAGTAAAGATGTGTATTGAAAATGAAACATAATCCGTAGGTAGCAAGGCAACAACGGGACTGTTCGAGAAGCCCACTCTCCAAAGGCAACACTCAATATCCAAATAACAGTCTCCCTTAATTAGCTATTGGCCTACTATTTATAGTAAAAGGTATACACGCAGGGACCAAAAACAAATAACCAACTAAATAGCTAATTACTTAACAGCCCTTCCCCTTCTATTTATATTACTAAATGTACCCTTACTATTATTATTATTTCTTATTATTAGCCTACTAAGCCATATTCCTATCATCTTGACGGGCGACTTGTCGAACAGCTCCAGCGAAAGTAACAAGGAAAAAAGAAAGGAGAAAGAAGCAGGGGAGAGAAGAGAAATGGTTGGCACAAAAATATATAATATATTATAAATATTTAAAATGTGCTACTACTAGTCGCCTATTTGTCTTCTAGGCGGAGGCCTTGTCGCCTAGGCGATATGGCAGTTGGCTGACGCCGCGACTTGCCTTATCGCCGTGACAACTGTGGTACTACCATGTGCCATTTCCAAGCACTCTCCAGCCTAGAACATTACATGAATAAGATCATGGGCTAAGTTAGCATCCAATTTTTTTCCAAAAATCAGGGAAAAAAATTCACTTGGGTAAAAAAAACTCACTTGGGTCAAACACGCTTCCTTTTCTTCTGAATAAACGTGTAATTGTCATTTGGGTCAAGCACGATTGGTTGTCTTCTTAAGGGTGGAGACAACAAGGTAAGTTTGTCACCCTCCAAGGCCCTCTTCTCTTCCTTCCATGTGAGAACATAGTCAACAATAGAGAGAGATTTCACACCTTCTACATCCATCTTCTGCACATTGTAAAATTGCCTGAAGTTAAAATTAGGTTTGACAACGACACTAACATTTCTCATGAAATTGTATAATGACAAACTAGGGTGGCGGTGGCGATTGATTATGGCTATGATGATTATGATGATAATGATGATGATGATTTATTACCCGTCCTAAAGAGCATCCACATAGGGATTTCAATGCTGTGTAACAATCTTCATACTGGATCGAGATTCCGTCATCACCAAAACCAAATGAACTATCAAAATTTAATTAAAAAAAATTATCAACTCTAATCTATCTTAAACATCTGATCATATAATAGCGACAAATTTCTTCCTAAAAAATGTTCACATCCCAAAAAGAAAAAGCTTTTAGAATCCAGATATAAATAATACTCCGTATTAAACGTAATAATAATAACAATAGTCAGAACAAAATGCAAATAAAGATGCAAATGAAAGAGGGTCAATGTAAATGTACAGTTACCTAACCACACCCAGAGTCTCTAGTAACAAGCGAAGTGATCCAGGTTGCTCAGCAAACCATTGATGCAAACCCTTAATGATGAGAGTAGGTATCTCTGGAAGAAAAAACGATAAATAAAGGGAAAGGATGAGATTTTAGAATAAATTCATCGTCACACATCAAATAAATGATCATTAGGATCATGATTACATTTTATGAACCTACTTCCTTCGTCCCACTTTAAGTTTCTCACTTGTTTTTTTGGACGTCCTATCAAAAGATTCTCATTTTTAGTTTAGGAAATACTCCCTCCACCCCACTAATATTGTCTCATTTTACCTTTTTCGGGAAACCCCACTAAAATTGTCCTATACCACATTTGGTAAAATTTGTGTGACTCTAAATCATTCTTACTTTATTCTTACTTTATCAATTAACATCAATTAACATCAACCACATAAACCCACTTTTCTTAATTACCGTGTCACCCCTTTCCATCCCAATATTAGTGGGACAGAGGTAGTAAATAACACTCTTAAATGACAATTTAATTATCAAATATTAATAATACAGAGTACTGTATAACATCACGGTTATCATCAATGACATCATTATATTATATAATCATCAAAACTATTTCTCAAAATATACTCTAATTACTTTATTTAATTATTGTATGAATAACTGTAATTTTTTCTAATGGGAACATTTAGCCGGGGCGGTAGTACTAATTTAAAAAATGTATTCAGGAGCGGAGCCAAGGGGTATGGGTGGTCAGCCAACCCCCATGAAAGTTCGAGAATATAGAACACTAAAATACGATTTGATACATTATGGCTTTCGTGACTCATTACGAGTAAAAGGTTATGACTTCTGAAAAATCAACACTCCCTTGAAGTAATTCTTATTCATGGATTTGCCCACCTTACTTGTACCCATTTGGATACCTCAGCCGGTAAAGAACCTGCTAAGTCTTTGATATTTAGAGTTGCAAGTTGCAGTAAATTTCTGCCAAGGTGTTGGAAATGGCTAGGCTTGTCATCATCCTGAATCTGTGAGTGGTTTCCCCATATAATAGCAGATTCTCCTGAAAGAGACTCAACCTCCTCCTCCTGAGCCTCTGTACTAGTTTCAGAAATCATTAGGACTCTAGTTCCAAAGGAACATGGTTGGATAAGCTTGTCAGTAACTGGAAATTAAACCCACATCCTCTGCAAGATTAGAAGAAACTTTATCTGGCCATGGACTAACCGGTCTTTTCTCCTTGATTTCGTCTCTCTTATTCACCTTCTTGATTACAGATTCATTTCTCCATCATAATCTTCTTTATTGACTGGGAAAAATCTTGTGCAGATTGAAAAATAACTTTTGACAAAATTGGCGATTGCGAGCTGAGAGCTCCTACTTGCAACAATTTTTTTGAATGGTGATGCGAAGAGCTATGAGAAGAGCGATGCGAAGAGATATGCGAAGACCTCAATGACTCTGGTTTTGCTGTCTACCATGTCTTTGTTAGTATATATGTCCTAGCGACAATCATTTCTTTAAAGACATATGTACTTGATCACATTTAGTTTTTATATTTGATATATACACGGTATTACACTTTATGAATGATTGTTTTCGATTGTCAATGTTTTATTCATAATTGTGTTCCCTTGGATTTATGTTGTCAATAAGTAAGTGGGAGCTTATATGATATAACATAAGGTCCTAAAATAGCCCCAATCAATGATCATCAAGAATGGGATATTGATGATATACGATAAGATTGGTATGTGGACTGCATCATACTTTTAGAAAGTATAGTTGATCTCACGACTATGAGTTCCTGTAATTCATGATGGTCACATAGATATTTTAGAGAATATTGGCATACCCACCGAGAAACCATTTGATAAGTTCTATTCATGTGTCTATGGGATTATCGGCGTATAGAGTAGTGTAATAGTCCTCCGACTTGAGGTCAATACGTACTACATGTGCGGAGTGATGTACTTTGACCATGACCAACGCTTGCACTCCAATCGGGGTAGATACGGCATGTGTTGGGTGCATCACGAAGCACATGGAGTAGTAGTTGAGCCAAGAAAGGATTCATTCCTCATAATAGATTAAGAGAGAACATTCTACTTCTCATATCTAGATGGATCATAAAGTCATTGGCCAATGCAAAGATATATTCGTTTTGGATATCGAATATGATCGTTATGGATCATCTAGAAAGATTGAGAGACAGAGACTGAGTTATTGGGATAGACACTATATCATGTTCTAGACTTAGTTGAATGTTCGCTGAATGAAAGGACCGTATCACTATGAGCTCTATATTACAGGGAGTTTGTATAGTCCTCGCAAACGTCCTTATATATTAAGTTTGTCTGGAGAATCGTCTAGGGATTCGCTAAGACCTTAATTTGATTAGTGCTTAATATATAAGGCCCTATGGGTCACACAACAAGTGATTATACCTTCCGATTGAATTGTTAGAAGGAATTAAATATTATTAATTGGATTAAATAATATTTAATTCGTAATACTGAAAATGAATTAAATATTAATTAGATTAAACATATTTAATTCATGAAGCTGAAGGAGAGTTCTATTTGATAGAATTAATTAAGTAAGATAAATTAGATTTATCATACTTAAATAAGATGTATTTATTATTAAATAAAGTAGATATTTTCTTTTGTAATTTGGAATTAAAAGAAAAGTAAATAAAATAAATATTAATATATAATAATTAGAAAGTGGCGTGCAGCCACATCTCAATTATTATTATTATTATTTTGTTTTGTTTTATCTACTTATTTAATTAATTAGGAGTATTGGTCCTAGTAGGATTAGAACTCATTAATTAGAAAGACTTTCATTGTGATTGGGAGACTAGTTTCGAACTAATATAAATACATCCTTCTCCTTCATAATTTGGAGACCAGTTTTAAGATTCAGTATTACCAGTTTATTTCCCTGCGAAGAGATTTCCTAGTCTTTCTTTTAGGGAGATCTAACCGTTCTTTCGGAAAGGAGAAATCACGTGGATACCAAAGGTCAAGGATTATCACCGCTAGGCTGGAAGATCTGTAAGTTCTAACTCAGATCTGTTATTATTATCATATTCGTTATTTTGTTATAATCAGAAAGATCTGTTTGGGAAAATTTTAAACTTCCGTTGCCGTACTTTCGAGGTACGTTACATCAATTTCCTAACAGTGGTATCAGAGCCAAACTGATTTTAATGGCATTATACGAATTTTCATAGATATGTTCGTAGGACAAGAATATATATTTTTCAGAAACTATATTTTTGTCCTAATCTGATTTTCGAAATCAGTTATATCTGGAATCTAAAATTGTTTTCCAGTATGATTTTTGAGATTAGATTTTATGTTCTTAAAACAGCACAATCAAATAATTTGGAATTAGCTATAAAATTTGATTTTAGAAAGTGAAATCCGAAAAGATCTACTGCAAGTAGTCGATTTCCGTTGCATCTTTCTTTTCTTTCCTTAATCGATCGATCTGCAATCGATACTTGTCCGCGTTCCTTCTGGACAAACACTGTCTCTTGGAGAGAAACGAAAAAAACCACGAACAACGATGACCTTCACCTGGAAAAAAAAAAAAGCTTGGACGTACTCATGAAGAAGACAGAGGAGACGCAACAACATAGTTTTCAGCAGGCATGGATGATTGTTTTACTGCTACCGTCCTCGACTGTCCAAGCCAAGTCTTCATCCTAAAACAAAGACTAATGGAAGTCTTAGTTTTAAATTTTGAGTTGCATGCTTTGGGGACATTTTTGAAATTCTCCATTTTTTAAGGAAAAGAATTGGTGTTTCTCATGTAGTCACGTTTTTGTAGAAAACGTTTTTGACATCCACTTAAATTGATCAATTCAAATTAGTTATTAATGGAGTCCCTGTTTTACTTATAGTAAAATACGAAGTACTTAAATTCGTAGATTGTTACTCCGTAGTACTTAGTGAAAGTCTCAGAGACTATCGTCCGGTAAAGTTATTGGTTATAATTATAATTATAATTATAATAATGGTTGAGTTAAAATTTAATCAATAACTATATTACCATAAGCTTGCTTTTAATTTAATTGTTTGATTATTGTATTTGTTTATAAATTAGATTTATATTACATGCTTTAAATTATCTGTCTGAGTTAGATCTCATTAACATATTATTATTTGATAATATGTCGTTAGCATCTTGATTAAATAAAGTAATTTAATACCCCCCTAAATGCTCCCCATAATTTAAAATTTAAGTCTTATCTGGGATAACGACATCACCCATCATAATTAAATTAGTAGAAATATTTTTTCGTTGAAGAATATTTCACCCAAGTGTTTATTCCATTCGACAAAATATAGAACTAATTTATAGATACATATGTTTGTGATCGTGTGATGGTTTTGACTTACTTAAATTAGCTCGAGTCGCCCAAGCGTCAGTGTTAATTTAAGGATGTCGATCAATTTAAAAACAAAATTGATCAACCAAAAGTTGCTTGGACGCAATTGGTCTGGGGACCTACCCATTGTATTATTGCAGTGATCAGCCCAAGCTGGGACTGTAATAGTATGAATGAGGATTTTGGCCACTATGATTGCAAAACATTCCATGTTCCTTTTATTGGGGTCAAAGAGCATGTAAAAAATAGTGGGAGCTAAATAATTAAAAGTCCATATTATTTAGTTAACTAGATGTGATCATAGGAATTAATATATGATTTTAATTCCGTTCTATTTGAACTTCTCTAGGCTTTTTAGGTATGTCGAATTTATCATTGAGAAGTATCTTGGATACAAATAATCTGATTGAACCAAACTTTCTAGACTTGGAACAAAATATGCGTTTCGTTCTTAGGCAAGAAAATACCGAACATGTATTTGATACATGTGTACCCGAGATCCTTGATGTTAGTCCTTCTGAATTAGCCATGTTTGACAAGGACATTCAGAAGAATCACATTGCTAAGGTACCAAATGATGTATGTCTCTACTGCAAAGAGACAGGACATTGGAAAAGAGATTGTGAGATATACAGGACTAATCTAGCCAAAGCACCGAGTGCTTCTAGCTTAGGCATTTTTGTCATTGATATTAATATGTCTACAACTAACT